TCTTCAAAATGCTGACTGTATACATTAATTGAGTAATTGCTTAAATCAAACTGCTTTATTTACTTAAAACAAAACAAAACAAAACAAAACAAAACAAAACAAAACAAAACAAAACAAAACAAAACAAAACCAGAGCTAAGTATTACTTAACACTCTGGAGGCAGAAAAAAAAGTGAGTGATAGAAAAAGCACTGTGTTCTCATGGTGCCCATGAAATGCAATTTAGTTAAGTTGCCCTACTATTGAACCTGTGGATTGGAATGAGAAGAAACAAAGTCAGCCCACCTGTATGCAGAGCTCTTCATATTAACCTTCACGGGCTGAACCTTCCAACACAGTGGAACCAGGGAGTACTGCTTCTCCTGCCTTCACTTGTCCTGAATGACCAAAGGGTGATTTCCAAAAAAAGATGATCTGGTGCTGCGGCATGTCCAATCTTGTAACTATTACTCTACAGAAGAAGATGGCTCCCTGCATATGTGAATCTGTACAAGCATCTCAGAGGCAGATACTACATGCATCCAGATTTCACTTAATGTATGCTGTATATTACCACAGTTTAGGTAACAGTGATGACAAGAATTAGAAAGTGTCCCACTTGAATAGGAATTTGCTCTAGCAAGGTGATCATCTTATAGGAAGAGTCAGTCAAGACAGTTATGCTTCCAACACATGTAAAGCTCCACATTGCCTTACTTTGATTTCAATAAATAGAAAACCTTGGAAAACTATGGAAGATATGTTGGCCTCTGTAGAGAAGGAACTAATCTTGTTAGTGAGAGGGACAAGTCCTTTCTGGATACATAGCTCAACACAGCTGGACAGCAGCTGATTTGTAACAGGCCAATATTTCCTCCTATCTCTTGAGAAACAAAATAACGAAGGAATGAAGTGATCATCTGAACATTTTATTTCAGTTAAAATTACAGCATATAATTTGGTCTGATCAACACAATTACAAAGGCCAAGGGAAAATCCAATAAAATTGATTCATTACTATGGAAATTAGAAATCACTTTATGCGAGAGTTGCAGATAAAAGCATCTTATTAGTTTATCTTTATGAGACATCATCAACAGCATAGCAGACAGCAGCACCATCGTTCATGTACCTAGATGAAATCACCGTTACTCAGAAAGCCAGTTCAGCTGATCCATAGAAAAGGAACTTTCTCACACCGGCTCTAAATGTTGTTCATTTTCAGTCAAATAAGCTATACAATGGTCACAAAATGATATAATACTTATCCACTGGGAAACAAGCATTATTAAGCTTTGTCATTTCCTTACTGTAATGTGAGTGAATTAATAATTTTTGGAAATATGATATGCCAATACAGCCAAACAATTAAATGTTACTGATGCTGTTGGAAGCCAGAGAATATGAGATAGAAGAAGTGTGAAGGTGAGCTTATACCATTTTACCACAATAAACACTTTTCTTCCTTTGACCAATGTAATACTTTGAATTTCAGTGAATTCCTTATGCTTTGGAAGAACAAGACTTCAGAGTCTTTAAAATCAGACTGTAGGAAATTAAGCTCTAAGTAGTAACTCAAAATTGATGTGTCAATAAACCCAGGCATTAAAGGGAAATTTGAAAATCTTCTCTGGAGAGCCAAAGCAGGTTTGGCAACAAGTCAAAATTTGAGATAATAAAGTTATATTTGTCTATCTACCTACACATTTTATTTCAACAATAATAGAATGCAGAAACTTACATACATTTCATTTTTTGTTGAGAAATAAGAAGTACATGCCTAAGGCTGAAATGGGCAAAGATAAGATAATGTAATGAATTTGTACTCAACAAGCATTAATGTGCTATGAGTGTTGTTTTTGCTAACTGATATACAAATAGTTGCTCTTTCCCAGTAAGTTGGTATTTTTGAGGTAGTTATTACACTAGTTTTCATTTTAGGCCCAGAACTCCAAGTCTTCACGTCAAAACAATATGGATGTTTGTTTACATCCAAACAGAAAGATTTCCTTCTTCTGCCAATAGTCCATTTGAGGCAGATTTTAGTGTTAGAGCTTTGTCAGAAGTACGGTCATGGAAAATATTGTCTTCAATGCCTGAGGAAAGATGAATCAAATGTTTTTTAAATGCACCGAAAGATCTGAAATTAGATTCAGTAATTCTTACTTATTCAAATTTCCAGTTTTAGAGCTCAATAAATCTCTGCAAATATCTTCCTTCTACACTATCAGAAGCCTTGGTAATTTCAGTTCTGGATCATGCCCAGGAGATATTACAGACCAATGCTTTGCTAGGACCCTGCACTGAAGAGAGACTGGGATGTAACCCTTTCCTTTCCTGCAGTAAAATCTCCAAAATATCCACAAGACTCACTCTTCAAAGCTATGTTTTACCAGAATGCAAAACAAAAGCTTGAAGACCTTCAGCATGCTCCCACACTAACCTGGTGTATTTAGCTCTGAATAGGCTACATGCCTTCTTCCTCCCAGCAGGTGTTTTTTTTTCTGTCACCTCTGAGGTATGGCACTGGGTCTAGTCCCAGCTGCAGGAAGATCTCCCATTGCTCCCAGGCACCCCCCAGTCTGTGCTGGTGCTTGTTTTTCTCTCATTCCCAGACCCTGCTGGAACACCAGAACTTTATCCAAACTAAGCAGGGGCAGATGCTCTCGGGGGAAGACTAATCGTCTCTCCAGCTCTGCTCAGGCTCAGAGAGCAGCAACCAGAATAAAAGCCTTCTTTTCTGCAAGACTTAACAAAAAACTCGTGTAGTACTGCTCTCTCAGGGTTAGTCAATTTTCTCTTCCTTTTCAGGAGCACTTAAATAAGCAATCTTGTTCTTTATGATGTCACTGGTTATGCCATTGCTACCTAATAATGTACAACCCCAAAGCTTCCTGTTACATACTGAAAAGTCTTTCTAAACTGTTTACTTCCAAGCGCTCCTTGACAAAAGATTACTGTACTTCTTACCGTGAGGTAGGCTATGGCTCTTATTACAGCTTCTGACAATATGACATTCAGCACCTTTAGTAAAAAAGAAAAGGCAACCACTGCCAAAGAAATCACAGATCTCTTCTTCCATCTGCAAGCAAGGATAAACGCTAAGCAAATTTTACAGAATCCTTTAAATCTTACACTTTGTTTTTCCTATTTTTCCTTTAAACATTATCTTATGATTTTTAAAATATTCTCTACTAAAGCTAGATTTAAAATGTTCTTTTTTGTCATCCCACACTTTGCTTTGCTTTTGGCTAAATTTGCACCAAAGCTGACATATATGGGTTAGTTCAAAATATTAGATCAGTTAAACAACAGTTACAGTTACACAACTGACCACAGTCTTTATAGTTAACTATGGTTTACTTTGTTTCCCCACTTTTCCTGCCATTCCCCTACTATTTAAGGGTTTTTCTCCCCCTTTGCCTAGCATTTTCTTCCAGTGTTCCTCCTCTCTTCCTTATAGTTTTCCAACTCCCAAATTCCATGCTAGGGAACATCCATTACTCTATCCTTCCTTTCTCCCACACCTAGTTTCTTCCTACTCAGTCTTGAACTTTTTTTTTTTTTTTTTTTCCCTATGTGTACCTGCTAATTCGTCCAATGCTTCTTGCTCTCCAAACTGGTCCTGCCTTCACTCCCTTGTCCAGGATTCATCCATCACTGCCTATATTCACAAGCATAACTTAACCCCTCTCTCACACTTGGACAACTGCCCTAGTATGTCCTGCACCTATACAGGAGGGTCTTCAACTTGCTTCAGACCTGACTTCCAGAACTTAAGCTCTGGCAACTCAGGAGAAACGCTCAAGAGCAGTGTCCCAGCACACAACATTCTGTCCCACAGGACCAGTAGGAAGCCAGGAACTAGGTGTCAAGAAGCAGCGGATTTTCCTGGCTGTGCTACTTACAATGCACAGCTAGTGCTGGTAGGCAGAGGTGATGGTGGAGATGTGCTCACCTGCAGACATACCGATCTTTACAGCCTCGGATGTGCGAGCTGGCAAGCTGCTGCTAAACATCCAGACCAAGGATGTGCTGTCTGTGGGTGGGAGTGTTATATCCCCAGAAGAGTAGGCACGGTTGTTGGTGGCTTGAGACCACACTTGATTTTGGCAGTCAGCCTCACAAGGTATAGAGTGTGAGATTCTGCCATGCAACAGTGACTCATTTCTTTTTTCCAGCACGGTAATAGTGTTACCTTACCAGAGTGGTACAGTATCATCTGGCATTTCAGTTAAGAACTATGATAAATGTGGGTTTTTCTCTTCAATGCCCTTTACTAACACATAGGCTGTTAATGACTTTATCTTCTAAATCTATTATCTTACAGCTTAGACAACTGGTGCAAACCCCTTCAGTATTCTAGAGGTGACCATGCAATCCCTAATAAAGCAACACAGAAAGCCTAAAAGCAGTCTCCAAAAGCAGCAAAGCAAGAAATCTGGCACAAGAGAACCTAAACACCAGCTATTCAAAACTTATCTTTTAGCCATATTTGTATCCACTGTCATGAGCAAACAAACCTCAAAAGAAAACTGGCTGGTTGGGTACTAACCATCTCTGTTTTAGGCACCTGGAAGAAAAGCCTTGTTCAGGGAATCCCTCAAGGAGGAAAAAAGACAAGCTAATCACAAAGATTTTTATTTCCTCTCACCTGTTAGCCTGGAGTAGAGAGTTGTATAATGTGCCCATTATCATAGTGCAGCACTGAAGCTGCCTCTCAGTGAATAGCCACAAACAAGAACTAAGATGACTTTTACCTTCTCATACTGATCATTAATCTCCATTCATGTGGAACTAATGTCTGAAAATATGATTAACTTGGCCTTTAAGTCACTGTACTTTATTTCTTCCTGCTCAATGTAAAAACAATGGTGGACAACATTAGGAAGGATCAACAAATAGCGTTCACAAATCTGATTGTCAGACTCTTTCAGTGTTCTTTGTTATATATTTTTGAGATTTCCGCCCCCTCTCCCTCCCCACCCCGTTACACACCATACTACTTAGATTCATTGGTATGCATGCAGTGCTAAGAAGCTGTATTTATTCTCAGTGACAAAAGTAAACACTGAAATCAGTGATATTGTTGATTATTTAGAAGAAAAAAGCTTCCAAATTAAAACAGAACCAAGATAATGAAGTTAAAATAGCCCAAACTAATCCATTTTAAAATCTCAATTTATTTTGACAAATTTGCAATAAGCATTATCAATCACATGAATAACAGTTAAAAATGACAGAGAGTTTATTAGCTGTGTATTTTCTTACTACTTTTATAATCCTTTTCTGTCAAAAAAATAGATTTTATTCCTGGTCCCTCATTAGTATGTAAATTTCTACCAGAATCAAGTAACACAAGTAACAAGATAAAAAAAAAAAGAGATTTCTGAAGCAGGGTAGCTTTTTTTTTTTTTTTTTTTCCTGCAAGTAAAGCCATTCTTCAGAATTGCTCAGAAAACAAGAGAAAGTCCATTTGATTCTTCAGACTCTTAACAAAGACTCCTGGCTAATGTTACTGGTTTAAAAAGGAGATAAGCTATATAATTTTACAGGAAGCAACCCACTGAATCCTTCAGCAAACACAGCTTGGCAATCTATCTTCAATTCAAAATAATGAGGTGGCAGGAGTGTGATGAAGAAATAAGTCTTCAAAAACATCATGTAAGGGAATCCAGCTGTGCTTGTATAGTTTCCAGCTATTTAAAGATACAAAAAAGAGAGAAAAAACTCCACTCATATAAAATGTTGTTTAGAAACATGAAAACAGAAAAAACCCCACATTCCAATATCTTCAACTATGCATACTAAATCTATTCACATAGCAATAAAAAAATCCTGTACTCATGAATATTTGTTTTTACATGAAGCTATTAGAATTCATTGCTACAGTTTAAATATTCAAATTTTAAAGAAACAGTTGCCTAAATACTACCTTTTTTACATGCACAGATGTTTTGCCTTGAATTTCCAATGCATAATAAAAAGGAAAAAAAAATAATAGAGTTCATTTTGACTGGATTATGAGCCTGGCATTTCGACTGAAGACATAACACAAAGATGCTCTTTCCAGAGAGCTCCTCATTGTTAATCATCAGCTACTCCTCTCAATCTAACCGCCAGGTATGCTTGCAATGACCCAAGCCCTGCCTGTTCCAAATTTGAATGCACAGACTCTTCTTGAAAATGCTTTATGTGATCAAACAAATCCAACAGCCTTAATTAACGTTGGATCCATTTTCCTTCCAGTTTCATTAGATTTCATTCAAATAGGCAACACTTCCTGCTGAGCAGCATAAGGTGTTTACAAAGAAACTATAGTATCGTAAAATCTACAGACCTTGTTATAGAACTCAAACAGCTCCTGATGACTAAATTCTACAAACACTTTCTTCAGGTTCTGTGAAGAAAAAAAGAAAAAAAAGGAAGGCATAATCATACTTTTTTTCTTTTCTTTTTGGTATTAATTCCATCAATTCAGAATATGAGATTAGGCTATGTGAAAGACAATGGTTGCAACAGTTAGTTTTCCTTCCGTTCACTGCAATATGCCTGATATATGCATATTCCATTTCAGTGAAGAATTCAAGGTGCATCTATTCTCCCACTGTGAAGCATAATAATAATAAAATATTCTATGGAAATTATTTTGTTACCTTATTTTTAAGTCAGATAAAAAAGAAAGATTACATTAATCTTTCTCAGCAGTCCGTCTAAGATCTGATAAATATCATTACACAATGACAAAGTCAGGAGTGTATTTGATTGGACTTGCACAGCTATTAATGTACTGCACCAACACAGAGCTAATACTTACATTCATTAATCTAACAGTTATGATCTTAGCATGCTGACACTGCTAAAGGCATCTATGCACAGACTCAACCTAAGTTAACAATTAACACAACAGCTTCAAAGCAGTGCTTAAACACTAAAAAAGCAAAATAGCACAACTGATGGAAACCACTATGGGTAAAACAGATGGTGGTAATAATCCTCTTCATGCATGTGCTGATGTCTGCGGAGAAGGGGGTTAAATTAAAATTTCTGTCTTGCTTAACTTCCTTTCAAGAAACAGGTAGCTTAATGCCTGCTACTTTCAATCACAGTGGAGATCTATCCAGATTGTTTCTAGCCTTATTTCTTCTACTTGGCTTTGTCATTTTACTTCTTTTAAAATAAATTCCTAACTATTAGTGTACATTCTCTGTGTTGTTGCTAGACTTTCCAGGGCTTGGAGGCATTCCTGAGGATAACAGCTGCACTTCCATAAATACTAACAAGGCTCTGTGAAACCTGCATCTGTGGACACTTCTACCCACAAAATATTATCAGCTGTAGACACACTGATTTTGTTTAACAGGTACCAAATTCATGTACAACTTAAGTCAGTAGAAAAATGCTTATTTATCAATTCAGCTTAAATGAGTAAGGATACTTTTGTATACACATAAGGCTGTGGGCCAGATTCTGTGTATTCTCATACCAATGCAAGTCTCGATTTAAGTCAAATAATGCTGTTGAATTTGGCGCACCAAATGCACAAGAGCAGCAGAAGCCCTGGGAACTCAGGATAGGTACTGCCTGGTGCCTGTTCCTCAAAAGGAGCTGTAAGACACAGGAAAGGGATAAAATGACTGGGGCCAGCCTGTCTGGTGCAATTCCTCCTCCCCACTCTGCAGAAAGAAGGATCCTTTCCAACAATTTCAGGAAGGCTACAAAAGGCTAGAAAAGGACCAGTGATTTGCATGAGAGACCAATCTTCCCCCTCTGGGAAGGAACAATGCAATTCTGGGAATCGTATGGTGAATACAAAATAAAACTACCAGGACAGCAGTTCTCTTTGCCATGACTCCAGCTGATCCTCTCTCCAAAGAGCATAATGCCTTGACAGGGAAGTAAAAGCATTTTTAAAGGCTTTCTAACAGCTAAGAAACAAAGAGAAAGCAAACAAGTAGTTTCTTCAGAAAAGAAAGGGGGTAGAGGAAAGAAGAAAGATACATTAATAGCAAATGGATCTACCATTTCAGACTGAATGTTTGTTTGGCATTTGCCATTCCAGAAGGATTTTGGTGTTTGAATGGAAGGAAGTGAAACTGAAAAGAGGAGGTTCAAAATAAAAAGAAGGTATCATATATCTTAAAGTTTATCAGTCACAAGAATCAGTCAGGGTCATCTCTTGAATGGTTTTGGGCAGAAGAGTCTCCCTGATTTCAATATAACAGTTTTACAGTGACTCCAGAGAGGGGCAGTGGGTGTGACACCTCCAACAACTAGATCTCATTTCTCCAAGCTCTGTGTCTAATTCGGGATGGGCATTTTCTGGTACTACTTCAGATCAGCAAGAAAGATCAACTTCTCACACACACACAAAAAAAAAGAAATTGAAAACCTTGCCTTTCGTATTTTCTCCTACCTACATTAATTACTGTAAGCTATAAGACAGGGTATGCAAACGAAAAAAAGTTTGGTCCTTTTAATTCAGGTTCTTTTTATAATAAAAAAAAATCACTATGCTTTATGAACATGCTGACATCTCTCTTCCCATTGTTATTTCATAATCATAGTCTGATAACTAAGACAAAATTTATGTTGCATTGTGGCAGGCAAAAGTCCGTGGAGATCAAAAAGAAAGCATGCCATGCCAGGCTATGTTTCTGATCTGGGCTGGGGGTGGGTGTATCAGTGGGAAAGGGGATATAACCATCTTTTATGAAATATGTTGTTTATCTGCACTTAATTCTCTGCTAAAACAGAATTGTTTCTGTGTATAAAAAGCTGGTATGTCTACTACATCACTTCAGCAGAGAGCAGTGTCACAAAAAACTGTGCAGAAGTGTGGCACCAGTTAAAAATATTATTTTTACAATATTAAATTTCTCACTAGTATGAGTCCTTTCAGAAAGGTGTCAAAAGATCATTGTTATGTGATCAGGAGTTCCTATATAGGCCAAAAGATACTGTATCATTACTAGGTCCCCATAAGAAAAAGCTACATCTGAGCAGGGTGATGCCCCCCATTTTTAGCTGAGATATCCATTATTCACTTATTTGCTTTATTCTATGTGAACTGTAATTAAACTGTATACAAATAAACTATGAACAACAGTAATTAAAATAATGTGTCACAGGACTAGGTTACCATCCAGTTCTTTAATTACTCATTAAAATATTATTAAAAATTACTGTATAGATAGAATATTGCTAAAGCCCCCAGAGTAGGCAAATTCCTAACCTACTTTATGGAATTTTGCTCAGATAGGCATAAAAAATTACAAAATGAAATATTTTTTCAACTGTAACTAAAACACAGGATAAAAAAAAAATCACTTTCAGCTTACTGACTTAATTAAATGTCACTGTGTGCAGACAGAGTCTCAGCCTATTTATGAAAAGTGTAGCTAAGCTGCCCTCTTCTATCTGCACATACAACTTTTCAGATGTTGTCTCTGACCTAGTATGTGTTTCTCAGAAGGTAAATAAGAAAGCAGTAATTTGCTGGATGTCTAACTTCTTTCTTCCGTCTATCAACTATATCATTCTCTTTTCCTCTTTGCTGATAAATTCCTTCCCATTCCTCACCTTCACTTCACAATTTCCCTTATTTCTGGCATCTCATTTTCTCCTTGCTGTTATCACCTTCATTTGAAAGAAAACTAAACAGAGTAACCAGAAAACTCAACTGAATTTATTCCCATTGTCACAGTCAGTCACTCTAATACATTTTCTAATTACATCTCAAACTTTGTTGCTGTGGCAGTAAAAGTCCTAGATCCTACTTTTAAGAGTTTTAGCCTTGAGGGTAACAGCTTCATAGCATCAGAGAAAGATAGTTGAAGATGTGATTCTTATGAAGACAAAGAAATCTCTAAAATACCAAACATTCATTATTTGGGCAGCTTTGAAAATGGAGAGAAAGGCTTTTTGTCTGATTCAATACCCATGAAGAGTGGCAGGGACAGTGCAGGAGTGATATGCTCAATGAGCATAGCTAAAGATCTGATGTGCAGCATCTTCAGCTAAATAAAGTTGCTGTTAAGTTCAATGTGCTCTTCTGCTGTTAAACATGACAGAACATCACATTCGCTTCCGGAAAAGTCTGCAGGAATTGCAGGTGTCGCCCATCTTTACAGCACTCTGAATCCATCGCAAGGAATATGGTAAAAGTTTTCTGAAACGTATGGTTTAACATATTTGGCCACATATCACTACTGAATGTATCTTTAAGTGTTAAAATTAAATTTTAGTGACATTTTGCCTGTATAGATCTAGATGGAATCTGTTTTCACTTTGCCTCTTTTTCTTACCCCAGAGTTGTACCAATTTACAATTTACAGCCTCCTGAGAACTGTGAAATTCTAATAAGTTTAACTGAGTAGGGTTGTTTTCTCCCCTTACCTATCTTCTCATTTATTGTCTGGTATCATTTTTAAAAATGTAACATCTTCACCAGTCTCTAAAACAGCTGTTCATAACCAAAATTCTTTGGGGAGTGAGGGGGAAGAAGGAAGAGAAGGGAAAGAAAAATGAAGATAAAATCTTCCTGCTCCCAGTCAACACTAATACGCTATCCTATTCAAAACAGCCATTCTGAATGTATGGCTAATTCTACAAAGTAGTCACAATCATTAAATATACACTTAGATTACAGCCACCAGCAAACAATTAGGCAATTTTTTAGCTGAGCATGATCATCAGCATAAAATGATAAAGATTCAACTACACAAGATGTGAAAGAATGTCCAATTTTCCACTGCCTCGGCTAACAATTTATTTTAAACATGAATACCTTCTTGCTGCAGAATGTTTCTGTGGAAACCATGCAAAAAATGTCTCCTTAAAATACTTCAGAAAGCAGAGGCAAATTCATGGTTATAATGAAATACTTTGGTTTTGATTTCGCTTTGTTTTTTTATTCCAGTGCTCTAGACACTTCTATTTTAATGTACTACTGCAAAAGGCTTTATTACTAATGACAGAGTTTTGCAACCTTATTTATTGCCCAGCTGTATTCCACACATTTAACTCCCCCACTCCATGCATAAGCACAGAACAAGGTACTAGGAGTTATAAATAAAAGGCAAACTTCTGGTTTCAAAGCTAACTTGAATATGAAAAATTGATATTGCTGTAATAGTTCTCAACTGCAAAGCTGTAACTACTTTTACGACGCTGCAAAATAAATGCCAAGTATTCTGAAGCAAACAGATGGAGGGACAGGCTGGTTTGTATATCTAAATGTCTACTGATAATGATAATGTTCTATGACTGAGCACATGTAAAAAATTACAGTATATTCAGTGAAGTTTGTTAAAAGTATCTAGCTGAAGTAACACATATCTCAGTCTCCATATTCTAATATAACCTTTAACACTAACTTGAGCCACATCTCAATTAGGT